GGTTCCCAAGTTCGTTGCAAATTTGCCAATTACATTTCCAAGTTCAAATATTGGGCGTGAACTTCGCAACAAAGATCGCAAGTACGTTTCAATGTTTGAACTATTGTAAACAAACGTTCATAGTTCAAGTTGAAATTAACAATTCAATGGAAAGTTCTTGGTCGAGTGGTCTACCAAGGTTTGTTTTTCATTGAATTGGTTATTATTATTGAGTATGAACATTTGTTTACAAACGAAATTCAAACATTGAAATGAAATTTCGCGCCCAATTTCCAACGAACTTGGAAACAAATCGCAACGAACTTGGGACCCGCGCGTTGAAAAGCGACTTGAAATCGACAATAAATCTTGTTGAAGAATGAAAGTAGTGATACATCATAATTTGTGTTGTGTTGGTATCTAATCAATGTACCTCATTAATTTTGCCCTAACTAGACCGTCCCCTCCCTACAGCCGCCTACTTTATCAAAACAGACACCTACTCTGAATAATTCTGAAAGCCCTGTTATCGATCATGATTCCTGCAGTGTAAAGTTGTCTGATTATAAGCGAACCTCAATCGCGTCTGTCTTTGAGAAATGCTTCCAAATTAACTCCACCAAAGTTTGGCAAACAGCGCAAGTTTTCTCTATGTACTTCCCTTTCCTCCTAAAATTGCGCCATTCCATTTAACATCAACACCCCCCCCCCCATTTTTCTGAAGGGTGATCCCAAAGTCGTTTCTGAGGGGCTAAGCCAGTCGGCATCCTTTGATCTCTGTGATTTTTCTGAGGGGTGAGGGGAAAATATACACATTTCAGAGGAGGGTTTTGTGTCGGCACTTCAATCTTTTTTTCTTAGAGGTTAGAATTTTATTGACCTCATCCATAGGGGGTGTGGATTTTAAATGGAATGGCCCATTGATATTTCCGGTCTCCATTAAAAACAGTACAAAAATGATAGAGCTGTCCAGTACCAAATATGCCAGATGTGCACTGCTATGTAAATTCTAAATACACTATATGTATGTATGTAAATTCTATATACAGCTATTTCAATTAAGGTTGTCCACGAGCAAAGCGAAAAAGTCGAATACGAGCGCGAAAGGCTGCTGGGAACCGCTTTGAAAATTTATTAATTTGTTAGCGATTCCCAGCAGCCTTTCGCGCTCGTATTCGACTATTCCGCTTGCTTGTGGACAACCTTAATTGAAATAGTGTATACTATACCATCATAAAATCCAACAGCGACAAGATTGGAGTGCTCAGGATGAACATCTAAACACATTACACCACTTTCTGTATGGAATATATACCTAAAAACAATCATATATAACCACAATTAATACAATCCTGGTAAAGGGTCTCTCCGGTTAGCAATAATTAAGCATTATCACTCTGAATTACATGGCAATATAGCTGTATAATAATATTTATTATATAAAGTAAGTGCTTTTAGTAACTTAATTGCGTCTGCAGAACCACATTTATAAATTATGTTTCACGACCTACAATACAAGCAGAAACAACTTCAGCAAAACGTACTCAGGATAAGATGGGTTCTTCAAACTGTAAAAGCATATCATCCCTCTGGTTTGCTTGAGAAAGTCATCTACAAAATTAAATAATTACAGCGCCATTCTGAAATAAATATTATTAACTGTATATATTAGATTGTGTAATTGACTTACAAGATCCATGTCCGACTGCAAACAAATCATGGTATTTGTGATTCCTAAAGAAAATGAAGTAACATAATGAAACATAAAGTTTGAGGTATGCAAAACGTACAAAATTTAAAGCATGTTAAACTCACCAGCAAAGAGCGGTCACGGCAAGTCTTTTCGATT